GTTTAGCAACTGCATCCGCCAGTTAATGGATTTTTATTACTTGGATGTGCTTATTCTGTTTTTGAACACACAATAGCCACATAATCTGTGGCAAGAAATTCCACAGTTCATTCTCAAGAAAAAAATTCACAAGCCTAAGCAGTACCAGCATCCCAAACTCATCCCACAAAGTAGTTCTGATCTGGGAGGCATTTTTGGGAGTAAGAGGGTAGTATGGTCTTTATTTTACAGTGTCTTGTGTGTGCTGGATAACTGTAGAAAGCAAGCAGTTGCGTTTACCTAGTCTCTTAAGCACATACAATACGAGGTCTGAAGCTCATGTAGTTACTGCCTTTATGCTGCTAAGAGATATCACTTTATTTCAGCTACTTACATGCCATAAGCTCTGGACTTTTCAAAATCCTCTTTCTATGCTGTTTGAGATTTGCAATATATAAAAGGGAACATTCCCCTCCCCACCCTTTGCCTCTAATAATGTGACTATGGGTGTGACAACAGGGTTTGGATCACAAAATTCCTGTCAGTGTCATGGCACCTTCATCTCTGGTTTGCTACTACACTCCTTGTAAGTTGGAGTGTTTCATGGGGACTTTTGTAGATTCAATTAATTTGGATAGAAATTTACAAGCAGAAAGAAATCTTAAGTGAGTGAAACAGATCTGCCAGCTAATCCTGGATACTAGTGATTTGATTTTTTTAGCTGTAATAATAACTATTTAAAATGTTTGTTTATAAAAAAGAGCAAATGCAGAATTTTGCATCTCTGATACTTACTTGGCAACTACTACACCCGGTAATGTGTGCCTGCTCTATAGGGAAGGAGAAGATAAGGTCTCCTGATCTGTGGACTGTAGTAATGCCTGGATATAGGCTACTGATGACTCAGTCTCTGAGTAAAGATGGTTGGCTCTTATTAGTTATTGGTTATTAGCCACACTGCTTCTCTTCAGGAACCTTGAAATAGTTTGTATCATGCTTGCTTCCAGCTTAGTGACATGCTTTTTTTTTGTGGGAGGAAAAATTAAGACTTCAAGACCTGTTGGTAAACCCTTTGGTTATATCCTCAGTATTGTGAAGATGGTTTTTAATTCACTTCACTTACTTAGTAGTACTGCTGAAATACTAATTGAGAACAAGCCTCTTTTGAGGATGCACAAAAGTGGTCTTGAGGACTGAAATAGGATGCGCACTATGCATTTAGCTTTAAGTGGGAAAAATCGGTAAGTGGAGTGATTTGTAAAAGACCATGAGATTTGCAGCACAGCCAATCAGTGAATATGGAAGAAAGCATAGACTAAATTTTGAAGTTTTCTTCACATCTGAAGAACCCTGCTTCAAGGAGTCCGAGATGGCCTCCTTTCTTCTTTTGTCCTAAAGACCACTGTGGAGGCACTGCCAAGGCATTAGGACCTTGACATTAAGAATGAGGGAGGAGGCCCTGACCGTATTTGCATCATATTTTTCCTTCTCTGTGTAGGGTAGTGGCGTTTGCTCTCCTGATTCTTTTCCTACCAGTTGGAGCATGACCAGCTCCTTTCCACAGTCCCTGCATAAAGTCTGTGCTAAATAACTTTGTGGTTAGCCAAAGCACTAGCATTATCTTGCAAGCTTGTAATGACTTTGTAGGCATCAGTTTCTAAACTTGAAAAATAAAGCAAGACATGAACCCCAGCCTCAACACCAGGAGTATCAGAGTTGGGTTTTTCCTTCTGCAGTTATCTTCTGGATTATTGACAGAATAAGGGTGAGTTGTCAGGGAACAGAATTAATCTGTGTATTAACACTTAAGAAAGCCTCATTCTTTTGACTCTTTTCAGACCCATTGATATTGCAGAGGATTTATAATAATACAGATTTCTAAGTTCATAGTTTATGTCACTGACCAAAACCACAGTGTTATAAATTATTCATAGCAGCATGGATTCTAAAGCACCTGTAACTGTCCCCTACTCTCACCCTCAAATATTTGTATGGTGTTGGTGCAGACACCATTAGAAGGTGCATACATGCTAAAACATCACTACTTTTTGTTGTCACCTTTTTATGGGATCTTAAAGGTAATTCATGGACCATGTTTTTAAATCCAGTGGCCTACCATTAGCAAAACCAACTATTCTTTGACTAGCTATTCAGTCTTTATGATTAATTCTGTTATGAGGTATGAACTCATAATAATAAATCTTATTTAAAAATGAATGGATTATTAGAAGTCATGAAATACGCTAATCATGGATTGTCTACAGAAAATGGAGTTTGCTCACTTCTGGCAAACTTTTTTTCTGATGCTCTAGTCAAATTATTCACCAGGCTTTTTTTTCCACTAGCAACATACTGGGTACTGGTATGCTATCCTGTATGCTCTGTCTTCTGACAGAAATTTTCAATTCAATAATTTTGAAAAAAATCAGTGAAAAAGTCATGAAGGAAGCTAGAAGAAGCTGTGAGGAAAAAAAGGGTGATTATTTTAACGAGCCTGACCATTATTGTGTAATTAATAATTTTGAAAGGGGAAATAAATGTAGACATTCTTGTAATGACTATAAGTACTCCGAAAGAGTCGGTTGTATAAAAATAATTCACTAAATGTCCAGACTAGGAGATTGAAAATAATGTTTCAGAGTTAAATTATGTAGGGTTAATGTTCAGCAGATAGGTTTTCAGGTGGTTCTTTCAATGCATGGTAGTGTGAACCTTTGAACATTTGTGAGAGATTGAGTGTTTTCTAACATGTCTGTAACAGCATATGTTGTATTTAATAATTTTCCTCAGAAAACTGTGATGTAACTAACATTTTACTCAGTTTTATGGTCCTTGTTGACAAGACAGCATGGGAAGTTTTTTCTGACCTGTTGTCAAACTCTCAATGAACTACTCATCTGGTTGCCATGGGTAATAGCCAACTCTTTGGGTCTTATTGCTGCATCTCTCTTCATATACTTCCATGAGACTGGAATTGTACATTTCATCTGCCCATCTTTGTGTTTAGGTACCTAGCAATAAACTCACTCTCCCTTTCCCCAACGCTGGTCAGCAAAAAGCTGACTTATCACAGATGCTCTGTAGGTAGATTGTACACTCTGTCCGTTGTGATGTTTCTCCTCTGAAATGGCAAGTCTTGGTTTATCATGGCACAGGTTGCTTTCAGGTTCACAAAACACGGTTAATGTCTGAAACCTCTAAAACTATAAATAGAGCAAGGCCTAATGTTATGATGGCTGGAGTCACTTTTCACTCATTTTATCTAGCACTTTTTCTTTGCACCACTCAAAAACTATTTGGCAGCCTTAGGCAGTGGTAGTCACAATAAAAGCTACTAAGAATTGTGAGAATAGTTATTTTATCTGGCAATAACCATGATTCAGGTGCTGTAATTAGTTTGAATTCTACCACTCAATATCCATCCTGGTTTTTGGAATCCTTACTTGCATTGGCTTTGGCCTGCAGGAAGATCTGAGCTTCTGGGATTAGAAAAATATCATTACCTAGCTAAACAACTTAGAAGCTTACAAATAATGTTTCAAACTACCCTTTCGTCTTTTAATAGGCTTGATGTGACAGTCTTTTGAATATGTTTTGGAAAGATACAGAAAACCATGACAGTTCTGGTTTTGAGTCACATTACTTGCAGCTTCATCTAAATATTTTCCTTTTAAAATTTTTTTCATTTTTGAAAATTTGGTTTGGGAAGAATTCAGACATTGAAAAGGAGAGAAAACTATTGCAAGCTTCAAAGGCTGCTTTGATATGGCTTCTTATACAAATGCTTCTTTCCAGAACTTCAAATATTAGAATTACAAGGAAGAAAACTTGATACCAATGTGAAATGCCATATTTGCATTACAGTATGACCTTTGCATATTGGCAGTAGTCATAGTACTTTGGTGTGAAAGTGCTAGATGTTATGCTGACACTGAACTTTATCTGGAAAAAAGGAAAAATACGGGAGAGAGTCTTAAGCTTGATGAAAGATGTCTGATGCAAATTAATTGTACATATATGAGGCTCCCTTAATACATGATTCAGGCAAAAATTATCTGGTGTATTTTATCATTCAGATGACTTTAAACAGGTTACTAAAACATGTAGAAAGTTTTGTCACTGCAACTCTCTGCATACTTGCCTTCTATCTACTTGATTTCAGTCAATTTTTATGAAGTAAGATGTACTTGAAGAGATACTGGATGTAGTAATTGTTGTGGTATTCCAAAGTAGATTTTCAACTTAATATACTGTTTAAGGAATTTTACAAAATAGTCTTCTGTTCAGCCTTATAGAAATGCACTTATCTTTTCCAGTAAAAGAAAGCACAAATAAGTGACTGTTTTTTCTGTAGAATAGTTCATGTGTAATCACCTTTCTCCGTAGCTGTTTCTAAACCAATGATGACCCACTAATTTTTGGAATTTAGAGAATCAAGTGTATCTTCTCATAAAGGGTATTCAGCTTGTAAAGAAATGATGCTGTATATGGGTGCTTGTCCAAGGCTATACTTCGTGATACAGTACAGCTGGTTTTGTAGTGTCAAATCTAAAATGTCGTGATCGTGTGACCTAAGGCAGTAGTTTGATATAAACTTGTCCTTCTCCTTCAAGTGGTTTAAAATATTTTGCTAGGATAATTTCTTGTGAATAGACTTTGTGCAGAACTGTCTGTCCCTCTTTACTCAGAAGCACATGTACCATCTGCGCTCCTGCAGCCAGCATGGCTGGCAGAAACTTAAGTTCTTTGCTTAGCTAATTTGAGAAACATGCGCCTGTGTATCCAGCCTTCATGCAAGACCCTGGCCTTGCGTTGCGGAACTGCAGCCAAAAAATACCCAGTGTGGGCATTTCTGTTTTGGGGTCTCACGGTCAAGAGAAAATGTTGGCTTTGGGTGTTCTGTTGGGTGTCAGAGCAGTGCTGGATTACATAGGTGGGTTCTGAAATGGAGGGGAAATAGGGACTCCTATAAAATGTCCCATTTGCTTATTGCTATAATGAGAGGCTAATACTGCATTCAGTCTGAACATTTTGTAGATTTAATCTTTTAGATAATAACTCTTAAAGTTTGTTCAGTAGGCTCACATGCTTGGGCTTTATTATATCCTGAGATAAGTGTAATGGAAAGGGACTAATATAACACAGACAGGAAATAAAAAGTAATGTCAAATAAAAGTATGATGTGGGATTCTGAAGTACAAAAATAAGTAGCTTTGTTTATAGAAGCTGAAGAGAGGAAAACTGGAAAGTTAATTGTGTTACGTAAACAGAAAGCAGAGAGTGGAAAAATTCGCACTCACTTTGGAGGCACGAGTCAGAGCCTGCATGAATCTGTGCTGTAGAAAGCAGCCCACAGCACAGTGGTACTGCATTGGAAAGGATTTCCAGTTTTCCAGAGGAAGAAGCCTCTTCTCCTTGGATAAAGTTTTAAATGCTTTTTTTTTTTTTAAGGTATCTTCAATATATTGTAATAGTCAGTGGTTTGTATATTGAAGTTTGCCATGATACAACGTTGTCACACCTGTAATAACTGCTTCTATACCTGCCTTCCTGCTTATATTAATGCCTCACCATGGAGCTCTGTCAGGCAGGAAGGAAGTTTTTGCTCTCTTGAAGAGGTTACTTAGCATTTTTTTGTTAATGGTCACCTTTGTCATAGCACATGAAGAATCATACTACATATTCTCAGAATGCTTGTGCAAATTAAGGGGACAGGCTGAGGGAGTTGGGCTTGTTCAGCCTGGAGAAGAGAAGGCTCCGGGGAGACCTTATAGCACATTCTAGTACCTGAAGGGACTACAAGGAAGCTGGAGGGGGGGACACTTTTTACAAGTGCCTGTAGTGACAAGACAAGGGGTAATGGGTTTAAATTGAAAGCGGGGAGATTTATATGGGATATCTGGGAAAAATTCTTCCCAGAGAGGGTGGTGAGGCACTGGAACAGGCTGCCCAGAGAAGCTGTGGATGCCCCATCCCTGGAAGTGTTCAAGGCCAGGCTGGATGAGGCTTTGAGCAACCTGGTCTAGTGGAAGGTGTCCCTGCCCATGGCAGGGGGGCTGGAACTAGATGATCTTTAAGGTCCCTTCCAACCCAAACCATTCTATGCTTCTATGAAATTAGGAAAATATCCTCATTTACCAATCGGACAGACAGATGGAGAGAGTGTAAGAAGATAATATATTTAGAATTATTTACTCTTAGGATTAGTATGGTGATCTGTGGGAGAATAGGGTGTTAAAGAAAGGTGTTGGGAAATCCAAATCTTGTGCCTTAAATTGCAGCTCAGATATGCTTAGTATCTACTCGGTGCTATCTTGCTGTTCTCACAGTAGAACATTCCTACGTTCAGCTGCAATACTTGCATGTGGAAGCTATTACAGGATTGATGCTTCAAATTTGACTCGGGCTTTTCTTTCAGAGATGACCAGCTCTATCTAGTTGTTCTGCACAACTGTCCTTGACCTCCCTGTTAAAAGAAGTAGCTGTGGGAAGCTTTTCTTTATCTGTTTCATGTATTTTACAAGATTATTTCTTATCTTGCTTTTGTACACAGTGCTTTTCAGACAAGATGTTCAGAGCTGGTATCTGTGCAGTTTGTATCCAGCTGCTTATCACTTCCACTTTAATGGGCTTATCACCTACTCTTTGTCTGTGGCTTACGTGATAGTGAAGGGAAAACTCAATTTCTCTCCTGTATTTCTATGGCTTCTGTGTCATTTGCATTCCTTGTGTTTTCTCTTTTTTCCCCCTAGTGTGATTGCTGAAGAAAATGGCCATGCTAACACACCTCAGAAAGGACTGTTAACTGAAGATATCAGTGTAGCTCCTGGGGTACTTGAGGCAGTCTCAAAATCTACTCTGTCATCCCAAGTAGTTCAGGTTTCAGAAGAGCAGAATACGGTGCCTACTCCAGTAAAAAAGTCAAGCAAGACAAAACCACAAATAGATGTGAAAGCAGAGTTGGAGAAGAGACAAGGAGGAAAGCAACTGCTTAATTTGGTGGTAATAGGTAATACTGTTAAATTATATTTTGACAAACATAGAGATTAAAATCTTTGTTGATTGAATCTGGAAGAGGTACAGAAATGAAACTGTCCTTTCTCCATGGAAGGGAAGTCTCGTACAGTTTTCAGTCTTATCTGCTTGACTGTTATTCTTTGGAAGGGAGTACATTCAGGTGACCTCAACTAGACAGTGAGGTTGACTTAGCTTCCTTTTGACATTATAGTAAAATGTACTTTGGTTTGGTTTCATTTTTGCAGTGTGTTCTTTTCAGTAGGAATTTGGAGGTGCTATATGGCTGTCATGCTAACTGACTGGTTTAATAAATGGTCTTCCTATGTCTCTGTCTTACAGGATTGTGAATTCTATGGATTGCACAAGCATTGTTAGTGCATGTGATTTGTATATGTTTTAGTATGTTTCTTGTACTATATTTAAAATGCATAAATTAATGAAGTCGATATATTTCTTTCCCTCCGTAGGCCATGTTGATGCAGGTAAAAGTACTTTAATGGGTCATCTTCTCTACCTTTTGGGGAATGTGAACAAAAGAACTATGCACAAATACGAACAGGAATCTAAGAAGGCTGGCAAAGCATCGTTTGCCTATGCATGGGTCTTGGATGAAACTGGTGAAGAAAGAGAAAGGTAAAAATATCATTTAATGGGAATTACCCTTTTTTTCCTAAAAGCATTTTTTAGGTAATACCAATCTACTAATAACGCTTTGCTAGAAATATTCTAAATGTTTGAAGTATTGGCTAAATAACTTATTAACAGATATTTTGTTTACCTGACTACATGTTATCAAGAGAAAAATATATCCTTGTTTGGTTATAAGGAATGTGAACGAGTTGAGTGTTTCCTCACCTGTTTCTGTGCTGTAGAGTGCAGTGTAGGACTACAGTGTGAAATGCTTCCAGTAACTGAGTTAGTTTATTTAAAGCTGCCATACTGGTTTATTGCTGCCAAATTTCTCTCAGTTCGGTTATTGTTGTATGGGAGAGTTCTAGGTTAAATTTTTCTATGAAAGCGTGTCAGAATTACAAATTAAGCACTGAAATGTCAGTTCATCGTGTGACTTACATTATGTTGAATATAAAATCATAATTAACTGTATTTGTGTTCTTTAAAAACTGCCCTTAATTTTTTAACTTGAAATATGAAACTTTAATTTTAAATTTTATCATACTGAAAGAGTATGTAATGAGGAAGTAGTGAAGCTAATGTAAAAGAAACAAATCTGTAAGAGCTCTTAAAACCACTGTATGGGAACCTAAAGATACGATATGTATTCACAGCATAATAGAAAAAGGCATTTTCTTATGTGTTTATATTTTTATGATCACTAGTCATCCACGGTTTTATAGCATATAAGTTCCTCTGGTTGGAGAGAGAACCTTCACAGTGTAAACTGAGGCTGAAGAACATGGAGTAACGCAGTCCCTGCCGAGTGTGTAGCTGTTTGTTTTTAAAGGTGGATACGCTTTTGCAGTATACAGCTGAATATAGCTAAACTTTTGCCTGTGTGAGTCCTTTCATGTACCAATTGCACATACAAATATGAGTGTGGGGGAGTGAGGTGAGTTGGTGCAGGCACAGGGAAGGAGGGAACAACCTTGAAGCAACGAAACACAGATTTTTGGTGTTTTTTAAGTAGCCTTACAGCAGTTAAGGCTGATGATAATGTAATGGTAGTGTTCTCATGCCATTATATTCTAAGGATGTAAAAGAAGAAAAGCTGATCAGGGGAAAAGGTCTTTTTCTTAATCCACAGATGTAGCTGGGTGTAAAACAGACAAACTTTGAAGGTCGCTTCCTTTCACAGATCTCCCATGGAATAATTGAACACCATATTAAGTATGTTAGTTTTATTAATACAAGCTACCTTTGATAGGATGTAATTAACATGGGAAACCAGAAATAGAGACAAGTATTTATTGCTTGCAAAGAGTAAAATGTTAACAGAAAGTAAAAAGTAAAGTTTGTGGATAACTCTCATGAGCCTTAAAAGTGATTCCCTTCAATCTATGATTTTTTTAGTACCCAACAGTTGTGCATTTAGGTACCAGACTTCTCTTCAGAAGTTAAAATGTAATTATTAAGGAAAAAGTTTTCTGACTTGGTATTTTGATTGATTATGGCTTCTCTTTACTTTGAGTTTTGTAGTTCTAAACAAAAACTTCCTGGAGCTATCTGTAAATGTTAGGGGGAGTTATTTTGGGGGTTGTTTTTTGTCATTGGAAGTAGCATATATTTTGATGTGTCACATTAGCACAGATACTTTTGTCCCTTGAAATTGCCTGACTGTCTTCATCCTCTACACAGGGACATGCAGATGACTAACCCAGATACAGATATGTGCATGATAAGTGTCTACACTTCATCAGATGAATCCTATCCTGTGTGCTGGGCAGAACCTGGGGTTCTTAGTGGGTTGTGAAACTGAGTCAAAGCGCTGCGATCCCTCCTTGATAAACAGTAGTTCTGCATGTGGACCTTGTTAAATGTATAACTATATTCGTGTAGTCCCATACCTTCTAGCTTTTGTATTCTTGGCTGTGTTACTGTAACTCTATGATGTCTGTTTCTGAAGAGCTAAGTATTAAAAGTAGAATTGGTAATGATGTAAATATGGAGTAGAATTTTCATGTTCTCGCTGTGCTTGTTGGGACATAGTCTACATTGCATGGAGTTAGTACTGTGAATTCTGGGCGTTCATTTCTTCTCAACTAGTGTTACTGAAAGGCAGCTCCAGAGGTCCGCTTTTCCAGAAAGCAGGTTTCTTTCAATGTTTTTGTGCAGGCTGAAACAAATGAAAGCTGTGAAGTGTGTAATTTCATGATTGTGTGTTTCATAGCTTACTTCGTATCTCTATGAAGATTTCAAAGCAGTCTTAATGGTATGTTGTATGTATGCTTTGTTTAAGGGGAGTGACAATGGATGTGGGTATGACCAAATTTGAGACAAAGACTAAAGTAATTACACTGATGGATGCTCCAGGCCACAAAGACTTCATTCCAAATATGATCACAGGAGCTGCACAGGTAGAGATGGTCTAAAGCTTTTTTCGCAACAGCATTATTTGTAACTTTTTTTAAATTGGTTTTCTTCAGCTTTTAAAATCTAAGATGAAATGGAATCATTGATGGTACTAAGATACCTTTTAAGGTTTTAATGAGTTTTCTAAACTTTCAGAAGAATGTGCTTGTTTAAAGGCAGTTGCTTTTCTCTTTTCGGGACATTACCTTTTTGGTCCAGAGTTTTATTAGGGAAGTAATTTGAATGCTAAGTTGCAGTTTGATAAAATCAGAGTTAAGCTTTGAAAGCTATTCAGATGTGGCATATGTCTACTCAACAAGAAGTTCTGTGAAAGTGGTCTTGTAGGTAATGATTTTAAGTGGTATTGAGACCAAAGAAGAAAATATTTGGAGAGGTCAAACAAAAGGCATTCTTCTCTGTTATGTTTTTCCATTCCATATAAAAAAGATAAGGAAGTTTATGCAGAATGTATCTGTGTTGTCAGCAGGACATTTGCAGAGACTGTGTCCCACTTGCTTTAGGAACAGCAGATAAAGTCAAAAGTGTTGAGCACTACCCATTGAATTCAGAAGGACGCTTACCATTCTCATAAGGGTTAGTTAGTTCATTTATGAAAATAATGAATTGGAGGGAAGGAAGAATAACATGTGGTTACATGATGTAAATTGTGTGAGGTTTTGTCCACTTAAAGGCACCCTTTTTTGAATAGTGGAATTGATTCTGCAAAGTATACGTGTAATCAAAAGTATTTTTTTTACAAAGCTAAGCTGCTGTGATTTTGCTTTGTGCATGTTATTACAGTCTGAAATGTGAGTTTTACCTGAAGATCTCAGTAAGGATGGATACTGTTAGTATGATTTTACAGATAATCTTCCTACAGTATAGTTCTCTGATTTGCCCCGCATTCTGCTCTATCTCTGAAGCAGAGCCTGGGCAAGAACACAGACCTTGTGACCCAGTGGCTGGGCTGCAGAATAGCCACAAGTTTGCAAATTATGGTGTGGAGCTTGTACAGCCATCTGTATTGTGGAGCATATGGCGTAAGAAGTTCAGGAGTTTTAAAATTGGAAAGGGAGGTTTAGTTTCAGAATAGCGGAAAATGATGTCTCAGCCACGCCGTTTTCTTGACGACTTTAATTTGAATTGGTTTATCTTCTGGGGGCAAAGGAATGCAGGCCGAAGTGTTAAGGGAAGACTTGCAGGTCCACCAGCAGTTGTATCGGTTCGGCAGAAGATGGAGCTGGCCGAATAAGACTTGGTATCTCTGTGTTCCTTCAGCTCTCAGGATGGTGAGGTGCTGGTCTGTTCTGGAGCCTATTAAGGAATCACTGAAACTTTGCAAGTTTCTGTTGCCTGTTAGAGTAGGCTCAGCGCTGAAGCAATGTGTGGCAGAAAGCAAACGTGGAAATGTCTCTGATGCCTTTTTAACGTAGAGTATTCTGTTAGGAGGTGAATCCCCAACTGCTGTTACGCAGAATGCAAATCAGGCTTATCAGGGCCAGGATCTGGCCTTTGATACATATTGGTTAATTCACATAAGTCCTGAGATACGGTTTTCATAATGTACAAAATACAGCATGTCCTCCTTTTGAGGGAGAAGTTCACTGCAATGCGCCTCTGAGGCTGAGTGCTGTGGGGAAAATCATCTTTCATCCTTGCCCCGTTCTCACACTTCTGCAGTCTTTGTATGAGCTGTGGGGATTTCATGCCTAGCACAAGGCAAGGCAAGGGAAATTCAGAACCAGGACAATGTGCTGTGTTCCTTCTCCTGGCATCCTGAAGCATAAGCATGTCAGGAAAGGGAGAAAGTACCAATTTATCTCCTCCTTTTTCCCTTTATATCCATCAGTCCCATGAAATTGTCTTATACCTGCCTCTTGACAGCAGTACCTTTTATTTTTTACGCCTGTTGGTGTTGCTTGGTACATGCATTCAGCTGGTTGTCTCAGTTACATACTGAGGTGATTTATCTCTAATTTTTGCAGCTTCTCACTATGAAAGTGTACAGACTGAGACAGGGAGGACTGGACATTGTGCTCATAGTCGTTCTTAAGCTTCTGGAGCACTGGCCACTTTAGTTGAGATCTGTACAGCACATCCATAGTAGTTTATTTGAAGAGGACAGGTTCCCAAAACCAATAGCTGGCTTGTGTTTACCAGAAAATGTTGGTTTATGACATGAGATGACATAATGCCATAACTTACTGAAGTGGGCATCACACAGACAGGACTGAGCAGTTTCAATTACATTTGAAGCACATCAACTTTAATTTACAGGATTCCTCCCATGTAAAATACATTTTGTGTGTAATGTTGTCGATTGACATATTCATCCAGATTATTCCCATCTCTTAACCACTTTTGGTTTTGTTGGTTTTTTTTTTTTTATTTATTTCTAGGCTGATGTGGCTATTTTGGTTGTGGATGCTAGCCGAGGAGAGTTTGAAGCAGGGTTTGAGACAGGTGGACAAACTCGAGAACATGGATTATTAGTGCGCTCTCTTGGAGTGACACAGCTAGCTGTTGCAGTCAATAAAATGGACCAGGTACGTGCTCTTTTTTTTTTTTTTCCTCATTTACTTGAAGCGCTTCCATTTAGGATTGTGGACCCTAAATTTAAGAATCAATATTGTGAAACTAATAATTAAGTATTGTTTCTTTTTTTGATTCTAAGCTCTGTCTTGTGTTTAGACTTTACAATACTTCTGGTTTTATTTATGGGTGAATTTTCAAAGCACACAGCGGGGTGGTATTGGTGCTAAAATGAGTAGGGGTCCCTCTGTACTTGTGAAAATCTCATAAGCAGTTAACCCAGTGGCATCTGCAAGGGCATCGTGTTGGTCATTCAGGTCAAGACCCCAAGAGGTTTAGTTGAACCTGTAAGGTGTGTTAAATATTACTAGTTGTGTTTTAGACTATTACTATGTTGAATGTATTCTTGCTGAATCTGAATTTTGTGTAAACACACACACACAAAAGGGTGCTGTTCAATGACAAATCAAACTGAAGTAGCTTACAAGTTAAGTGGTGTGTTTTTTGTTATCAATAATTGTTAATGTGTATGCTCTTATGCATTCAACTATGAATCCACCTGGAAACCTTGTATTTATAGAGAGTGTTGTGTGTGAGGAACAACTGCTGATACTACAGAGTTGTTGACATTCAGTTGTATGTTTGAGTCATGGTTAAAAATCTACAATTTTGTTATCATAATCTGTTTTCTGTTTTAGGTCAATTGGCAGCAGGAGCGATTTCAGGAAATTACGAGCAAGCTTGGCCAGTTTCTTAAACAAGCTGGCTTTAAGGTAATGTAGATTTCTGAGGTCTTCATTGCTTTGTTCAAGTATTTGGGTAGGATGAGCTTTTCTTACAGTCAAATAACTTTGTGTCACTTTTCCTGCTACTACTGTGTGCACATAGCATAGCAGACGCCTTTTCTTACTGGTAGGGTGAACATTGAGCCCTGGATAAGGTTATTCAGTTCTTTAAAACTCTGTCATCATCTTTGTTTAGGTCTGTTGAATCTTTGGGTCACTCTTCTCATTTGTAGTTTCTTGGGATTATTGTCTGTGAAGCAGAACAGACCAAGGATTGTCTATCTTGATGTTCAAGAGGACATCAGTGACAGTAGAGAGTTTTATAGCAGAGCAGGTGGCAGTGTGGATTATGAGCTACTAAAAACACCCTCCATTTGCCATTCGTGGCTGTTCTCACGTTTTCTCAATTCCAACTACTGTCTGTTTGGACTGGCTGTGGCCTTCCTGAAATCCCTATACATAAAACAGCCATTCAAACAAAAGTTTTGGCTGCCAGATATGGAACTGGAGTTTGTTACCTGAACTCAGTTTCTAGTTGTTAATGTTGCTAATGTCATATTTAAATATCTCCAACTCTTCATTAGAGCACTGTGATCAGGCAAGAGGTAGACAGAAAGGAAATGGACCCACTGAATAATCTGCCTTCTCTGAGGGAAATGTGAATGCCCCGACTGTTCTTTTGTAGCTTAGATGTGCAGTGTCAAAAAAAAATTCACCTCTTGCTTCTGCTAGAAGATCCTGTCCTTAATGTAGGCCTAATGTCTGTTCTGTTTTTGTAATTAGGAATCAGATGTGGCTTATGTCCCAACAAGCGGCCTTGGTGGTGAAAACCTGGTCACAAGAGGCCAGTCAGGTGACCTCACACAGTGGTATAAAGGAAAGTGTTTGTTAGAGCAAATCGGTTAGTGCAACTTTCCTCATTCAAAAACTAATATATCTTAGTCCTGCGTATGTCAAAACTTTTAATTTGTGGGAAAAGTAGGACAAAGTCTTTAGAACGTAATACAGTTGACTTATCGCTAAGTGAGCAGTTGAGTTACTGAATACAGAAATTCTAAAAGGTCTTATCAATTTATTTGCAGATTCTTTCAAGCCCCCACAGAGGTCAGTGGATAAACCATTTAGGTTGTGTGTTGCGGATGTTTTTAAAGGTTGGTCGTTTCTATAATATTTTCCACCATTATTTCCCTGATACTTAAAACGAGTTGAAAAACAATGTAAGACTAAGACTTAAAGTAGGAGCTTTATGTGTATCAGTGGTTTTGAACAGGAATAGTAAGTTTTCAAGCACCATTCTTTGTCAAATTTTAGATAGTACGGCTGAAGGAGAAACACCATGGAACAGAAATTGAGGAAGCAAATCTGCATGACCAGCTAATTTGCTATATAATGAGTTGATGGTTCTGTGGGACAGAATTTTGGAGTTTCTCTTTCCCAAACTGGTTCTTGTTGCCTAAAACGAATGTTTCTCAAACTTTTTATGATTTTGACTTTGAGGTCTTTTACCTTCCACTCCTAGATTTTAAAAAAGCTTGACTTGTTCCTTTTATGTTCATTGTTGTAGCTGTAAATAATGATAAATTCCTTCATTCTCATATAAAAATTTGGGGTGGTAAAGCGGAAGAAAAGGTGGATGGTAGTGGTAAGACTCTTACAATCAGCCAAGGGTTTAGTAAAAGGCAGCTACCTATTCCCTAGCACTAATAGAGATATGGACAGCAAGTAACTATAACCAGTTTTATTCCCACTCTCTGGAGAAATTAGACTGTCTCGAGCCTTTAAGGTTTTCGTGGTAAACTTGATTCTTTTTTCAGTTAAATGCATTTACATTTACAGGTAATTTAGAATAAATAAGTTTTTGTCATAGTCATCCCGTTTGGAATGTTCCATAAATCTCCTGAGAAACATCACAAACTAAATAACAGCATGATTTGAAATGTTGCAAATATGTGTAATCAAATTTTATTATTGAGGTTCATATTTTAAAAGAAATGTTACTTTATATATAGGGTTTTTATAGGGGAAGTACAAACAAACCAGATCAAAATACTGATTGTAATTGGAAAAATCAGTTTTGTGCAATTTTCATGTGGGTCTTTGAAAAAATAGTAGGTGCTGTACTTGCCGTAGGTTAGCTGACTTAAGGTACCGAAGCCATAATGTTGAATATTGAAACCTTGCATGAGAATTCACCCTAGTGTGTTACCACTAGTTTCATCATCTAGGCTTGTCCCTGTATATTTTTTTTTTTTTTTAATTTTGTGAACTGTGGGAAAGTGGGTTAGGATTATTGATTGAGATCTTTCAAAATATTATCACAACTTTTTTGTTGCAGTGATTAGTTTTGTGTTAAGTTTCACAAAATGAGCAGTTTTGACTAAATCTGTTCTGGGGAAAAGTCTACATTTTTGCCAAAGTATAAAAAAAAAAAATGGCTTTGGAAGGGACTCAGTTTACATATACAGGCTTTATCACTAAATGTGGCCTTTTAGGGGTTTTTTAGGTTCTTTTTTTCTTACCTTGTGATCTCAAAACTTAATTAATTTGGATGCCACCAGAGGAAGTAGCTGCAGGTACAAGTACATGAATCAGGAGTTGTTCGCAGGTCTATCCCAGGCCTGTGCATGCTCAGGAGAAGCTGTCCATACAAGTGTGCAAAAAAAGTGAGAGTGCTGAGCGTACTCTTACGTAGTTTGGCAAACCCTTTTCTTTATTAAGGTTACCCACACATAGAATTCATCTAGCTCAGCCTGGGCTACAGAGGACAACAGCTAATATTCTCTCTAGGCAAGCTATCTCCTGATCCAAGAGGTCCTTGTAAATTCCTTTGTCACTGCATCAGTCCTCACTCACCATATTATAATGCTGCCTAGGGTATGACTTGACCTGACTTCAGAAAAGCCTTGTCCAGCAGCCAAGTCCTGAGGACAAAGAACTTGACCTGTCAGAACCCAAGTACCATGACACACAGGAACGCCATTTTTTAGGCCCTGGCTCTGTCCCCCACTGTCCATTTTGTACTTGCATTGATTTTATGGGGAGCTGAAGGAAGCTGACCCTTTGCAGGAAGCAGTCATCATGGGAGCCTTCCAAACACCGCGCTGGCTTACCAAGCCATTCGGAGAAGTGAAATGGTTCTTGATGGTGCTTTGGGCGTGTTTGGGAACCTGGAACCAGTGCACACTTCTGGTTGCCTGCAAGTGCTTGCACAGCCAGCTTCAGGTTCTTTTGTGTAACTGCACTGAGGTGATATATGTACCATGACGTGGGGATTCTTTTTCTAGAAGTATCTGCTTCTCCAGTTGTCTGTTCTTCTGACATCCAATGTCATCTGTTAATTGACTGCATTCATCTTATTTGCTGGAATGAATGGCAGAAAATCAGTTTGCAGGCATACTGGTAATATTTTCCAGCTGGTAGACGGAAGCATTCTGCAATAACGGAGATGGATGCAAAAGAGCAAGTTGATAGTATGTGACATCAAGATTTGAGGTCAACTTGCTCTTTTGAATTCAGATTTAAATTAAGCTTTTGATCTAATGGGACATACAAAATACTAAGGTGCTTGGTCATCCCTGAATTCTGATGTATGGATACTGTAAATGTCATTGTAGAATCACTTCAGAGGATTCTTTTTAAACACACCTGCAAACACATGCTAAGGAGATGAGGCATTTCTTAAGGTATGTGCGTAAATGTGTACCTGTAGCACATCTGTTGAAAATAACTGACATGTTCAAATAATGAACAGACTATCAGGACATTGAAGAAGAAAGACTTTGCACATCTTTTATTCAGAAATGCTTAACTCATCCACAGTTATAAATAGGTTCTCATATTAAATAGGACTGAACTAATCTTTTGTCTTTCCAAGAGTAAAAGCAATATGCAGACTGAGCATGTAGGAGTCTGACTCAGTTAAAACAGAAAATGGCATAAGAATTTGCACCTGTATTCATGAGAATTTTTATGATAGGTCTGTGGTATGTTTTAGATCTGTAATTGTAGTGAGAAACTGCTGAATTAAATAAAATTGCTAGAAATTCAGGGGCCTAATCTAATACTGAAAAACAAAAAGATATTTCTTCATCTATCTACGTTTGATTGAAGAAGGATATTTCTCCCTTAGTTCTGAAAAACATAAGATCTGGAGGTTTTGAATTTAACGTTTCATTTTCATTATGATGCACAGCTGGCTAACTTGCAAGTACTGGGGAAAAAAAGCCCTGTCTTCATTATATTAAAAACTTATCTATGCATTGCTGAAGGGCTAACATCTGATGGGGAAATTGACCTTGTTATGAAGCCTTTTTGAAATTGTTACTGTGTTTATTACAGACCAAGGATCAGGATTTTGTGTGACTGGTAAAATAGAAGCAGGCTATATTCAGGTTGGAGAACGACTTCTGGCAATGCCTCCCAATGAAACTTGCACTGCAAAAGGTACAGTCTTCAGAAGCGTGTTTACTTTCAGGTCAATACTGGGCTAGAAGCAGTTACTGAAATGGTAACTGACTGTCAAACTGATACTAACTGTCAAACATAAAATGTGAAAGCATAAAACGAATTTCTTTAGATGTGACTGTGTCTGTATAAATATGTCTATGTATATGAAATCTTGCATGGCTTTTTAACCTTTTTTTACCATATCAGATATTCCAAATGTTGTAGGCTCATGACTTTTGACACTGCTTTATGAAGAACCTGTAAAAACATCTGAATTCCAGCAATGTCTATAAAAATATGCAATACAGGAATCATGAATATTCAGCTTTGCTAGGGAGTGTTACTGCTGTTAGGAAGTGTGAGGATGTTGAACAACCTTTAGAAATTAATCTTATGAATTAGATGTAAAAAAGCTTGAGAATTAAGCCTCTGCTATTTGATGTTCATGAGATTTGTCACTGATCCTTTCATAATACACAAACTTTCAGGATACAATTGTCCTGAGCAACTACGAAAAGGCAGAAAATTGAATTTAAATACATTTGACTTCTGAAAAGAGGAATTGCTAAGTCAGGATATTAACTTTTTAGCTGTTTAAGCTTGCTGTCTATGTACTGCAGATTTAGTTTTGTCTCATATGCAAAGAGAAACATAAAATTGATTTTTCTACATTGACGAAATAACAAAAAAAAGCCCTCGAAACAGATGGATAGATTTCTGTATCTATTCACCTTGTATCTATTTATCAGCAGTGTGCTGGTTCGACTGTCCTGTTCTGTTCCAGAACCAGCTCATCCAGTGCTCATTTGGGAAGCCTTTCAGTGTATGCCTGTTTATACGGTTGTTTGCATATTGTTCGCATGCCCAGGAATGTTACAATAATGTGGATCAGCACGGGTATCAGACCACTGTCATTGCTCCTCTGTTTTGGGAGTGAAGGAAGCAGCAATGGAAAAAGATGTGTTTTGTCTGAGTATCCCCAATGGAACAATTGTATGATTTTTTTTTTTCTTTTGTACTGCCTCTCATACGGCTGAAGTGCCGGTGAAGGTTGGAGGTATTAGTTCCTTCAGCATTTGTTATTTATATTTAATGTAACGATGAGATTAAATTTATCGTACGATATTTATAAAGGGTAGTGTGCACATTAGGATTCCATTTTTACATTTCAAGAGGCTTAAGTTTCACTTACCCTGTGAGAATTGCACATATATGTGAAATAATTATCAAGACTGCTTAAAAAACAGTATTTAACATGCTTGTAGTTGAATGATGCTTTCTGGCATGTTTTTCACAAGTGGTTTTGGGAACAGATTTACAAATCAATAAATACAAACTGTAGTGAAACAGAACTACATCCTATAAATGTATGCAATATTTATAAAAAAACGGGTTTTTTCTTTCTGTCTTGGTGTCTACCAGAAACCTCAGAATGTGAAGTCAGGAGCAATTAGTTTTGTCCTTACCCACCAAACAGGTTTTCTTTTAAAGTGATTGATATAAATTAAAACCAGAATAAAACTACTTTTAAAGATGCTTTCTAATAGATGCAATGTCACGAACAAAAGGCATCAGTTACGCTTTTTTTTATGAAAGAGTCAGCAAACCCACTTAAGGTAAATGAAAGTTGACATAGTACCATTAAAGTGCATGAAAGATGCGGTCGAGGGTGTGCGTGTGCCTCAAAGGATGGGTGGGGCAGATATGGAGATATTAGTACTACGGCATTTTCGGGACTGCGTCATCTGCGCTGTGTGACAAGTGCCAGGTCCCCTCCTCTGGCTTAAATAAAGCCATGTTATTGTGCAGGGTGGGGTGAGAGAATAGTGAGTCTTCACCAAGGGGGAAAAAAGCTTCCTCAGTCTTCTTGGTTAAAGAGCTTTTACTCTCAACCCATTCATACTGAAAATTGATGAGTAATGGTTGATGAAGCACAAATGGCCCAAACAGAGCTGTTTGTTTGTAGCTCGGAACCTAGGTACTTCACTGTAAGGTTCTGTTCTTACTCATTTCCAGGAATCACACTGCACGATGAACCAGTTGATTGGGCTGCAGCGGGAGATCACGTTAGTCTCACTTTGACCGGCATGGATATCATCAAAATCAAGTGAGCAAAGCTGGGTTTCAGTCTAAGTAACGGTTTGTTTTTAATGAAAAGTTTTATAACTATTACACTTAACAATCAGCGGTTTACTTGAAGAATGATGTGGCTACCAGGATATTTAAAACCGAAGTGATGCATATCACCTGGCTTGCATGTACAAACGTTGGAAACATCTGCTGCATGCACAACGGCAACCTCAGAAGAATACTGCTAGTTTTCCTACTTTGCCCTGGTGCTGACACTGGTAACCCTCAAAGCCTTTTGCCTTAGCACTTGTCCTTGGAAGTTTTAATTGCTGAATTAAGTCAATCCTTATTGGTAAATAAACCAAAATATTTTTGAAGAGCGTATCGAACCTTAAATCATCCTAAGAAAACTCATCCAAACAGCTGCCACTGTATAACAATAAGTAAACGTGGACAAGTGGGATTGATGGAAACTGTTTATCCAACACATTTAGCTGCTTGCAGCATTTGTTTTGGTAAATGTTTTGCTGACCCTTTTTTGGGGTGTCTGATGCATTAGTGAGACAGATCTCTGTGTGTATATTTCAGCCTATAGGTTTCATGCTGTGTGAGCCTGAAGCTGTTAGGTAAGAGTTAGTTGTTCAGGCTAGAAAATTAGATCCATAATTTCAGCTTTTTTACATTCCAGTTGGACTTCAGACAGCAAACTTTCAAGCTACTGTTTGAAAAAACTCTTTGCATTGATAGTTTTACATATTTGTGCTCTTCTTTAAGGGAAAAATACAGGCTTTTCTGTATTGCCATTTCATAATGGGCTGAGATTCTCTCTGGTAAACAGAGGGGAAAAAAGTCTTGTTCTACTTGTTGAATGAAGGCTTGAGTCAATTTGTTACCCTGATGTCATTCATCTTTTGGAGATACATTAGGTTTGTCAAGAAAAGTACAAAGTTTTAAGTCCTCCTGATATTAATGAAATTTGCTTACATCTGATGTGCACGTTTAAACATGCTGATTGTTCTCAAGTCACTTTTTCTGGGTGGGATTAATTTTCCTTTCATTTTAGATGGCTAAAACTAGCCACTGTGAAAGAGCTGTGTCTAGTCTTCCTGCCAACTTGTAACAAGCAGCAGCTTTATTATAACTTGATGTAGGGTTTTTTTTAAATGAGTGCTGCTGAGAGGTCAGGTGTTGAGAGTCCTGATCACAATGTTCCTTTATCCACAAAATCGCTGAGTTACAGGCAGCAGCACTGCAATTTTAGGCACCCTGCAGTATTTTCTGTTATTGATACGGAACAATTAATCTCTGAATGAAAGTCTAATTCTTCAAAGTACCTACGCACAGGAAACAGTGACATTTTTAGAAACTGATTAGCAATGGACGTAATTGTTCACTGAACTAGACAGACTTCTTCATGCATACCCACAAAATACCGTAGACATTGTCTAGGAATTAATTTCGTTACAGCCTTTAATAGGGTGTTCCTGATTTCCGCCCCTCTCCCCAGGTTATATTAAAGTGTTGTTGCCTTTGCTTTCCTTGTCTTAAACATTTATCTTTTTCCAGTGCAGTGATTAACGCTGGTATGTCAAGTTACACATCAGTCTCTCTTATTCTCCTCTCTTGTAGTGTTGGCTGTGTATTTTGTGATCCTAAGGAACCCATTAAAGTTTGTACTCGTTTCAGAGCTCGGGTTCTCATCTTCAATATTGAGGTTCCAATCACTAAAGGATTTCCTGTAAGTCTCTGTGAAAAGTTCCTGTGTTCATTACGGGTTGCTCAGGGCTTTTCCTCTCCATGTTCGACTCCCTGAATATAAGAGGCATTTAGCATCCAGAAGCATTTCTGTCCAGAGGAAATGGATTCTTCTGTAATTTGAATACGATGTAAGGGGCTGTTGTGGCTGCTTATGCATATTCTTGCTGGCTTTTAGTACATAGCTGAGCCATTTCAGAGAACATGAGTTCCACCACAGTCATGCTAGGCTGTCCTTCAGAAAGCTCACTCCTTGTAGGAGTATAATAATGCACTTTGTTGTAAGATACCTCTTAAAATAAGTAAAATATCAGTTCATGCTACAGAACTTCCCTGAAGTGGCAAAAGCAAAGCGTTTGATGATGAAAAATGTATTTATGATTAATTAATACATGACCTCTGTGTCATATCTGTAGACATCACAAAGTTTAGAAACTGGGAACAGTTACTGAATGTGAGGTAAGTGTTCCTGTGAGAGAAGCTTTATAAGCATTTGTTTAAAACAATCAGTCATAAAAGAAGTTGATGTTTTCAAGGATTTCTGAATGTTTAATAACTCAAAAAATATTTTTAGGTGCTTTTACACTATCAAACTGTAAGTGAACCTGCTACTATTAGAAGACTGTTGAGTGTCCTGCACAAAAGCACTGGTGAAGTGACAAAGAAAAAACCTAAGTAAGTGTTTTGAATAGTTAATAATTACTCAAGAAATGGGCTAAATTTGGGTTATGTGGTATATCAAGCAGGTTCTATTATGAAATAATAATGTGTGTATAAGAATAAGCTTTCATTCTTTTAGTTGGTTTCATGTTTAGATTTCAGAGTGGTTTGCAAAGTGGAAAATCTCCTGCCCCCTTGATAAATGCTGAGCACCTGAGAAGTAAAATGACTTGCCTAGGATCATGTGCAGAGCTGGGAATGAATCCTAGATCATCAGCCCTGCACTTAAAGGATTTTTTTTTTTTTTAAACATTATTTCCTTTTTTCCTGTAATAGCACGGGATCCTTGCTATAACTCTGGAGATGGGTTACTGTCTAAAATAAACTCAACTAGACAGTGGGTCAGAAAAAGAGGTATTTAGGGAGTCTTCCTATACAAGTTAAATGGTGGGATCATCCCTCTAGTTATTTAAAGCTGTATTAGATAGAAATGCTATTTGATACATACAGTGTTATCAGAATAATCCTTTTCTAGAAATTGCATCCCTGAAACTGTTGCTGAAAGGTAATGGGAAGAAAAATCATGACATCTGCAGAGCAATGAATTGGTTCTTTAGTTGTTGGGTTTGAAACAAAACTTGATTTCTACTAGACATAAATAACAGGTATTGATGAGATAATTAACTTCAAGACAGTTTGCTCAATGTTGTAGTGGACGCCCTTCTGTTTTTAAAGAAAACTCAGCTGCCTTTTTAAAAGGTTATGCTCCAGACAAATGAGGTTTCAGTCTGATGGTTTGGGTTATACCTGAAATCAAGATTTTGGGTTTAAGTTGATTTTTTTCTATTTCTTCACTGTTCTTTTTCATTTATGCCTGTGTATGTTTATAATAAAGTTTTCTGCTTATTTCTCTGCAGGTTCTTGACTAAAGGACAGAATGCTCTTATAGAACTACAGACTCAAAGACCTGTTGCTCTAGAGTTGTATAAAGATTTTAAAGAGCTTGGGAGGTTTATGTTACGCTACAGTGGTTCCACTATTGCTGCAGGAGTTGTCACAGAGGTAGGACCTTTTTGTAAGGGACTTCCTGTACTTTAAGGGAACGGTGTTATCTTTCACATGGCATTTAGTTTTTATGGTTAAGACCCGTTTTTACACCCTTTGCCCTACAAAATGAATTTATTATGCTGAATTTACGATTCTGTTCAATATATTAGGAGCAAAAATTATTCTATTTAGAATTTTTGAATGTTGTGAATTCCCCCCCCCCAAGTTAAAAAATAACGATTCACTATTTTAACATACATCAGTCTTTCTGACATCTAATTGCCTGTACAGAAATACCAGAAGTAGTTTCTAAATAGAAAGTGTTGGCCATTTTTATGGTGGCTACTTTGGGTACCACATCTGTTAGCCTTAAAAGACAATTGCACATTTGATTCTTACCAGTGCCTATAGACAATTTCTGATCCTGTGTGAGTGAGAGAGGAAGCAAAAACTGTGGGGCTAAATATAAATGTTTTGCCTTCTATTAGGCACAAAGAATATGAATGTCCCTCTATCTGTCACTTTAAAAAATCTTGCATGGATTTTTGGTTTAGAATTTATGTTCTAATTCTAGGCCTGAGGGAGAGAGATTTAGTCACATTAACCAAGTTCTGGTACTGACACTTAAAGCTGAGTCATTTAATGTCAAAAGTTGAAAGTAGAGCATGAGGATTTCTGGCTTCTCTCTGTGTGTGTAGGAATGTTGTGCTAGGTCTGTCAGAGGCTCTGGACATTATGGAACTTTAACTCCCTTAACAATCTGTCTGGTCTTAAATAGGATCCAGAATTAGGGATTTGATCTTGCAACCATTGTTCATTAAATTTAACTTGAAGTGAGTAGGGTACTGTTTAGTTCTGTGTTGCCCAATGCTTGTAGAACTGGGGACTAAACTCCTTGATTGTTATGAAGAAGTTACTGGTTTAGTACTTTTGATCTTGTTCCAGAGAATTTCAGAGCAAAAGGAATTTATTTTTTCCACAGCTAACTATGTCATGTTGAAAAAGCTGTGAACTTTTTACATTTAGTGCTTCATTTTTCACCATAGGGTGTGGTTTGTTTTTCCTTTGCTTATATGTTTAGATTAAAGAATGACAGTGATCCCAGAACGTCTGCCATCCAACCAAAAATGTGATCAGATAGCCAAACTTCTGTTTAAGAATCCAGTTACTTCAGTTGAAGGAACAAGTGCAATTAACTGGGGAGAAGACAATGATGGCAAAAGCTAAATCATGTGAGATGCCTGGGGAGCCCTTCATCTGCCTCTCCCACTGCAGAACAAGGTGCCAACTGACAAGGAACAGCTGATGTTGCACCTCTCGATCTCAAGAATCACGTGTGTTTCTCCATTTGGAATTTAGCTCTTAGAGAACTTGATGGAAAAATCCTAGAAAGTTGAATTAGAGAAAAAGATGATGAATCATCATCAAACAAACTCCTTACTTCCAGACATAAATTGTTTACACATTTTCTTTGATTTGCTTTTTTGCTGCACATTAATTCAGTAAAGTAACTTTATTGACCTAATATATTTTTAGGTTTGAGTTGAATGCATATTCAGGGGAAAAAAGAACTCTTTACTTTGGTTTCAAGAGAATGGCATGTAGTATTATCCTGGGATTGTTTTCCCTGTCCCAAAGTTTATTTAAAAAAGTTTTCTTTTGCTTTGTAGTGGAAGCTGTGCCAACATTGGCTAATTTTATTTTTTAAACCATAAGAATAATAAAATAACTTTGTCTGAGCATAATTTTTGTTTCCTTCATGTCTTGTTATTCAGACATTCCTAAGTTGTGTTAAAACAATCTTAACCTTCCATAACTCAGAAGTTTCATGGTAAACTTACAAGTTAAAATGTGGAACTGGCACACGACTTGTCTCTCTGTGGAAATAATTTCAGTTTTTCTCACGTTACTCTGCGCAGCTGTGTACTGGGCTTAGCATCTCTCTCATCCAGCCTTTGGTGCTCTTTTGAACAAAAGCTGGAAGTTTAATCTTGGGATGTATGCTAATGCCAGATTGTTGTGCTTACTCAAGCCTGTAACCCCTTCTCGCTTTTTCAGTTGTAGGGCAGGTGAAAGGTCACAACTGGAAAGAGGGTCCTTCTTCTGCCACCTCCCCCATACGCTCAGGACAGGCACACGTTACGCCTTGGAAGGCTTTTTTTCATTAGGAAGTCTGAGAGGACCCCAGGTGTTTCAGGACCTGCATACAAGTGCGGGGTGGAGACAACTCTACTTTGACCATAGTTAGTAGTGGGGGGAAGGAACCAGAGCATCAGTCACTGGGGTTAACCGAAGTAAATCTGTCCCCTGTGTAGTGGAGAACACAAAAAGCCTATGATAGTTCAAAGTCATGTACAGGCCACACCTACTCTTCCCACATGGGGATGGTTTTTTTTGGTAGGTAAATGCTGTAGCCCCAGTTCAGGAACATACCTGCACTTGACCACACAGATAAATTGTGCTGTTGACTGTGTGCACATTTGCAGAAATATCAGCAATGCTTTACATGGAAATGACTTTTGTAAAAACTTACAAATCTGGAATATCTGAAAACCGTTATTGCCATAACCAAAGCTTAGGAATTATCACTGTTTGTTACCTCTTTTTATAGACCAGTAATTGCATTTCAATACTTACCTGTTTCAACAAGCCAGCCGTGAAGGTTTCGGTGCACTTGCTGGATTCTGGAGATTCATACCGCCAAGCTGCTGCGTTGAATCTGTTCCACTTGAACTTGCCTTTACACCTTGAACATGTTTAGGTTGCTTTTCAGTCAGGGGACAACTGAAATGCTACAGACAGAAGAACTTGCCTTCAGTTTTAAGACTTCAGTAAATCCCTTGCTGTTTGTGGACAAGGAAGTGTGAAATGGGATGAACCCTCCTTGCACACGCTTGCACACAGTTGCATTACATTCTGAGACTGGGTATTCTTTGACAGAACTACTGCGTGCCTTCCCAGTTTGCAGTTCGGGAGAGCCAGAGGTATTACCTAATCCAGTTTCAACATGACTGCACTACCTTTCAGCACTGATTTGAACTCTGCCCAGAGGCGACGGTTGGTTGATGCATAAATGATCTGTTGTTGTGCAACTCAAATGTATCACCCTTATTCGATCAAAATTTGTTTGTGTGTTCACCCGCAAGAAGTTTGATGGCTTGGCAGTGATCTAGCCTGCAAAAGCTTTCTAAACTGCTCATTGAGAGATTCTCAATCTCCTGGTGACAACATACTGCTCTCCTATATGGATGTGGTGTTTTGAATATGTGGGAGGGCAAGGAGGTGGCATGCCATCTTGGAGCAATTTGATAAACTAAGCATTCCCTCTTGGAGAAAAATGTCTTTACACAGCTCTTACCAGGCGGTTCAAGTTCTTGGGGATTTAAAGAATCGCCTAATAATAGGCTTCGCTACACTAAGGTGGCTTCCACTGTAATATCTATGGGGGGGAAAGCATGAAAGCCCGTGTCCGTCTTTGTGACGAACAGGACTTCTGGCAGCATACAACAGAGTGTACTAGGTAGGATTGTGCTGCTCAACTGTTTTGAATTGAAGGGCCACTCAGCTACTTGTGTTGTTTGATGTTTGGGGATGTTGGTAGAAAAAAAAGAAAGGGGTTTTTTTGGTTTGTTTGGGTTTTTTTGTTTTGTTTAAATTTTTTTTTTTTCTGGGTTAAAAGGAAAAGGATTGATGATGACAAAGCCGTGAACATGAGTTGCAGACATGCTAGTCCAAGTGTCTTTGTGTCTACTGATGCTAAGGAGGAGGTTCCTGGCTATACGTTGTTTACGTTATTTTGTGTATTTGTTGCAAAGTATCTCCAGACTGTAGCTTGAAAAACTTGTATACAGAGACATTTCCTGGTCCATTTCTTTTCCTCCCCTTCTTTAGCACTTTATTTCCTATAGACAGAGAGGAGCTATTTGCTAACATCTAAGCTGATCCTGCCTCGCTGCTTCGACTCCTAGAAAAGAACCAAGTGTCACAGAAATAGTAACTTTTCCCCCACTTTCCTCTTTGTTGTTGCCAGGGTTTGTTCCAACTCATGAGCAAGCGGTGCAGGGAAGACAGAGAGGGGGAGGAGTTCAGGCTCGCTGTGCAAATACGTAGAGACCTACTAATCTAAATTGATGCCTCATAGAAAAAAATCACAGGCGAAGCAAGCGGCTAATGATGGCTTACCCAAAGGCTCTCTTAGTGCTGGAGAACTTCATAGGTGGCAAATTTGTTCCTTGTTCCTGCTACATAGACTCCTATAATCCGTCCACCGGAGATGTCTATTGCAGGGTGCCAGACAGTGGCAAAGAAGAGGTGAGTACTATCCGAACATACAAAGGAAGGTTTAATGCACATAACATTAATACTTCTGACTGGGAGAGGCAGAAGGTGAAAGAACAGATAACCACTGAAGACTTTAATGCTTAAATAAGTTCTTGATTGTACTGTAGGGCTGCGTAATCTATTGCTGCAACGCCCGAATACTCTTTTTTTTTTTTTTTCCTCCACTTTTTGCTGTTAGAAAGTTAAAGGTGGGTTCTTAGGATGGTGTAAATCAACAAAGCTTCAGTCACTTCATGGAGTTCCTTCAGCTCACCTGGGAGTTATCCTGTACATAAGTCAGCAATAATGCTCAGCCTGGCTGTAAGTATAAACAATCTAACAGAGAGAAGGGTTTATTGATCTTTTCTTCAAATTAACTTAGAAGCACTGTATACAGTGACATGTGTTCTCCCTTAAGTGTGTTGAGGATTTGCAGTTGTCATTTAAAGGATTTTTGGCTTGCTGACTCTTCCCTGAAGATGGTAAAAAGCTTCCAGACCTCTGGTGTTAGCAGTTGGATATTAAGTGGAGGTGATGAAGTGGCTGCAATGGCTAGACATTTCCTTATAACATAGCCTTGTCCTCTTCATCAGTGTAATATTTCCTAGTCCTGTGCTTTCTAGGGGGGTGAATGTTTCCTGGTACTGTCTACGTGTTTAGATGTGGATGTGCAGTGTGACATGCATTTGGGGAGCTGCAGTTTCATTGATGTTACTTTATAAGGGGCCTACAAGTGTGTGTCGAACATAGTGCTTCAGATATACTGAAGACAAATAACTGGAGAAGCTTGGATAATGTGAAGGGCTTGGAAAATATTGACAAGTAGTGTACAGTATTTTCAAAATTTTCTGAAAAACGAATTGCTACTGTGTGTAGCTGTTCCCTTCACTTGCATTTCAGTCCCGCTGACATCTTTTCTCTTTGCTTCTCTCAGCAGAAACCTTTGCACTATAATCTCAACTTGGTCAATATTTGCTAGATGCTGATGACCAAGGGTTAAAGAGTAACAGGTTGGGTTTGTTAGAATGCATCTGTGTAAGTTCATTCCAACCCTAATTATGCCTGAAAAGGCTTCTCTTTGATGTGCAGGTGCAAATCTTCCTGTTCATTCATTTGCAAAATCATTAATACCAGAGATGTGAGAATGCCAGAACAGCCTAACAAAAGTAGGCTGCTGGCCATTCTGGAGATATTATTTAAATACACCAAAGAGCAATGGCTTCTCTTTCAGCTTTCTGAGTTAGTGGTTGTTAGTAGCAGCAGGAACCCAGTTTAAATGTCTGGTCTGTAAAATCAGAGTGTGCTTTACTCCTGTCTTTAGGCAGTTATACGTGAAGGTTGGGCTCTGCAGAGCTGGCATCTGCTGGTGACTGATGGGCTATGCTGCAGGGGAAAATGCAATCACATGCTAATTAGAGGGTTTCTAGAGATATCAAAATGTGCATCTAGACCCAGCTTCAGCAAAGAACTTGGGGTGCTGGTTTCTAGCAAAACTCAGTGTCCAGTTGGATTTTTCCTTGGTTAATTTTAGTGGAAGGTTAGAAGGCAGAACGGAGACAGGCAGTGAATCTCTTGCTGGCTCTGCAATTTAACGCCAGGTCAGCTGCAGTGGCCATTTCAGCCAGTTTCTGCCAAAAACACCAACTGCTTTTTTCGGAGGTTAATTTGTCCCTTAGCTCGGTGTCTTCAATTCCAAATAGCAGCACCAAAGCAAGCTGAACAGGTGCCCTGTATCTCCAAAAGACAGGCTGCTCAGGGCTAATTAGTCCTGGCAAATATCTCCTTGGAAAAAAAAAAAAAAATCTCTTTAAAGAACCTTGCTCCTGTGCATTGTCCCCTGGGAAAGCAAAGATCATGTTCTGAGGGCAGTTTTGGGTATTTTGCTATCAACTTTTTACGACAGGCCTGGGTTGTATTTTGTTTCTCTGTGTCTGTCTTGTGCAGAAGAAGAAAGCAGAAGGAAGTGTTTCAGACAAGTTCATAGTTGAATTCTTATGCGTGTTTTCTTTGTGGCTCGACATTCTTTGCTGCTTTTTGCTAGTCAAACTGAGCAACTGTTTAACCTTTGTAAGGTCTCTTATTTCTTCTGTACAAATCTTTCAACTATTCTCCTTTTTTTTTCCTCTTGCCTTTTTGTTTGGTTTTTTTTTAGATCTGCCACTTCATTCCTTCCTCTACTAATTTTCTCTTCTGCTCTCTGTGAAAATGCAACATATTCTTCCTTCTTCTAAACCCGCTGGAGGGTTAAAAATGCAGATAGCCTTAACTTCACATCAAGCACCTGGGGGAACAGGCCACAGAGGAGAGGACAGATGAGAAGCAGCACGACAATGGCACCTAATGACGGGAGGGTGGAAGAACAAGTTAATTCGCAGAGGTGGTGTGGTTTCACAGAGGGTGAACCTTTTCGGGGTAGCATGCCATCCACACCTGACTCGCTCAAGAAGCTGCAGTTCCCCTTTCCCAGGCCTGCTTTGGCCCTGCTCCAGATGTTTGGTGGCTGACAGCCTGCCGCCGCTGGCACCTGAGCAGCAGGGTGTTGAGCCACAGTCGAAAGAGCAGGGTGTAGGTTTCTGAGCTTGGCCAGTGATCTGTGTGACCTTGTGCAAGGTGGTTTATTTCCCGCCTGGGCCTCTGTGCCAGTATCATTCTGGCCTTCAAACTCTGGTTCTTGTTTTTAGGGAGACCATAAACTCTGCTGTGCATGGGAGAGGCTTTTCACCCGTTTGAACTTTTGTGCCCTTGTTAGTAAAACATCATTGGAGTGACTTTAAATTACTTTGTGGTGGGTTTTATGACACCAGTCACGATCTGAAGGGACAAATTTGGAACTCAGTTTTGTGGAATTGGTGCATTTTGGGAAACCAGCAATATGGCAACATTAGGAGAGGTCGGAATGATCTGATTAATCAGCATCCTCCTAGTTATTGACCTTTGGCAGATTTCCAAAAGCTGAAGAAATTTATGATCAACTATTATGGGAAACCAGCTAAGACAGCTTTGACTAAAAGCCCACTGTGATGTGTATATTAGACATTGGAAGCAATAAAAAAGGGATACATAGGAAGCAAACATTGGGAAATAGAGCACTTAATTAACATATGGAAGGATGTTGGTAATCATCTTTAGTAAATCTGAGAGACTGGTAAACCTCTAGAAGGAACTGCTTATAAATCAGTAATTGAAGTTAACTTCCATTTAAGAGCCCAGGGGACAGTTGATGGGAGAGAAAGCTTTCTGGTGAGTTTTAATCCTTTATAGCCTAGTCTGCTTCAGAAAAGTGCTGGTAATCTACCACTGTTCAGAAAGCCCAGTCTGAAGGGCCATGCAGCAGTTATGTACATCTCAGGTGAAATGATGATAAGGTTGGTATGCATCTGTATAAATGGATTTAATGATCTTTCATATCTGTAAACTTCATGAGGTATCTGGTTAGATAGCTGTCTGAGTCCCACAAGTTTAGAAAGGAGCTCCCCCCCTCCCTTCTTTTCTGGGAAGATTGTTAATGAGTTTCTAACTGTGATCGGGTAAGGTGAAAGATTTTCTCTGTGCATGAATTCTGTAAATATACTCCTGGTCCTTGCTTTAACCTGCTGGGGTAAAGGGAAATCAAAGGCTAGCAAGGCATACAGTCTGTTCCTTCCCCAAGCACTTACTTTCATCATTGCCCAGTGTGGCTGAAGTCCTGTGTTGCAAGGGCTGTGGACATTGAGACTGAGGCTGCGTTTGCTCTGGGAAATTCTTGCACTTTCTCTGTGAGAAACAAGATTCTCCATGGGTTTGGCCAGTGCCAGTTGACCCATCCAGCATTTCCTCTAGACCTGGAGGGTTGCCCATAGTTGCTGGAATTCAGAGAAAAGCAAGAGTTAGAGTGGCACTTTCTTTCTAGATATTCTATTTCAGTAACACTTCTTGAGTTATGGGGTAGTGTCCTGACAAGGTGAAAATGGAGAAGCTATGGAGTCACAACTCTGAAGAGATGCAGTCTTCCCAACAATGTCACCTGGATTATTAGCCTCTGAAATATGAATTCATCTGCTAATTGTTTGATATTCTTTCTAAGGCCTTTCATTAACATTCACTTTCACGCTTTTGCTTTTTTTAGGTGGAAGCTGCTGTCAGAGCTGCCAAAGATGCCTTCCCAATCTGGTCCTCAAAAAGTCCATTGGAAAGATCTCAGATCTTGAACAAATTGGCAGATCTGATTGAACATGACCTGGAAGCATTTGCACAAGCAGAGTCAAAGGATCAGGGTAAAAATTGGAACTATTGATCTCGAATAATGTGTCTTGCTGAACACTGGAGTATATAGTCCAAACTTTTAGTATGGTATGAACTGTTGGAGCAAATTGGAGTTCAAGTGCATGAACTGTGCAGCAGTTGCTGATTTTGGATTCCTGGGGCATTCTGGCTTTTCAGAATTGCTGACTTTGACTTCAGTCGTTAGATATTTGGAATGAAGTACTACAGGGCAGCTGTTGTCATTGACTATGGTTGCACTGTGCTGGGGATTATTTGGGGGCAGGACAAAACATATTTCCCAAAAAACATGCGAATCAGATTTCCGAGCAGAGTTTAAAGCACAGTTTCTGCCCATGATAACACAGCGTTGTGCTTGTTTTTGTTTCAGGGAAGACTATTACATTTGCTAGAACCGTGGACATCCCTCGGGCAGTGTACAACTTCCGATTCTTTGCCTCTTCCATCCTTCATCACACAACAGAGTGCACCGAGATGGCAACAATGGGCTGTGTGCATTACACCTCGAGGACACCTGTGGGAGTTGGTATGGTGCTTACAAAACACCAAAAAGCTTGGCAGAGTGACTGCTTCAGCAGTGTCTCAAGAAAGAGGATTTTTCCAAAGCATTTGTTGTCTCTGGATCATGTGCTAAACATGAATAGGCTGCTAAAGCATGAGCAACTTGATGTAAAATCAGTTATGCTACTTCATGGTAAAAAGGGTTCTTAGATGTCTTAAGAAGCATCTTGTTGTGGTTTAACCCCAGCCAACTTCTATACCGAGTGTGACGTTTGATGGCATGAAATGTCCCTTTGGTCAGTTTGGGTCAGCTGTCCTGGCTGTGTCCCCTCATACCTTCTTGTAGAGAAGAAGCTGGGAACATGGGTGCAGTATGGGAAACTGGAAAAGTCCTGGGCTTAGTGTAAAAATTGCTGGGCAACAACTTGAAACATTAGTATTTTATCAATATGAGTCTGAGCAGAACCAAAACATGGCCTTGTACTGTCTACTGTGAGGAAAGTTAACTGTCCCAAATAAAACCAGCACACATCTGTTTTAACCTGCCAGCTCTCATCCTCAAAATCTCTCTTGCGTTTTGTACGTGTGAGGTGGGGGAAGCAAACAAGTATTACCTCTGTGAATCAGTGAGGTGTTCAGAAGCACTGAGCTGCTGCTCCTGTGAGGAGAGCTGGATCCTCCTCGCCTTTGAGGAGCAGTAGTAGCATGCAGTGACATTTCAGCTTGCCACGGGCACGAACACAGGGTCTCAGACGATTTTTGCTGGGGCCTTGCTGAACTCCACCACCAGATGCTGCTGATGTTTCAAAAATGAAGTGGCTGCGCTGACCTGGAGGAGTGATAAGTCATAATGATTCTATCACTAGGGGTTTTTTTATCTAAATATCTATGAATGTGCCACATTCACACTTACATAAAAAAATAAAATTGGCTGACCTAGAGGACCTATTTAAAAGTTTTGCTTCTCTCCAGAGAAACGCATAAGTACTTCTGGTAAAACTCCTCTCATAAGGGAAAGTCACTCACTGCATTGGCTGCGTCCAACAGCAAGGAATCCTGTGGCTTTTGTGAGTGACCACACCTAACAAATATGGATTGTTTATAAATATGTAAGGTGAAAGTATTCCCAAAGGTAATCGCTGAAAAAATTCTGGTCACCCAGCAATTTGTGGAAACAGTTTCTACACTCATAAACTTTGGCACTCGTAAGTTAGGCTGAAGTTTATCAGGAAAATATGCACTGTACATTATGCATGCTCTTTTTTGTATTAAAATTAGGGGAAGAAAAGAAGTTCTAAAGAGCAAGAAAAAGCAAGAGTCATCTGAGCTAACACACATTACCTTAACTTGCTGTTAGCTAATACAGAATGTTACCACAGACCAGTTGATGTATATAGTTTTTGTCTAGCCTTGCATGAATTTTCCTAGAAAACACTGGAAAGCTGTTGTGAACATAAGACTCTGACCTGAAGAAGCAGCGAAACTTATTCAGAGAGCTCACTGATCACCTTTAGGATCATTTGCACAAAACTCTTATCTGCCCCTGAGAAATGTTTCTAGCTGTAAATTTGTTGTAGAGTTGTCTGGAAATAAAAGCCATAGCTGAATTCCCTTCATAAATCTGAATTAGTGTATTGAGGTTAGAGAATCGACCCAGCAGACTGAACTCCTGGTTGTTGGTTTTTTTTGGATGGGTTTTTTTTTTTTTTGTGGTTTTGCTTTGTAGCTGGTTTAATCAGTCCCTGGAATTTGCCACTGTATTTGTTGACCTGGAAAATAGCTCCTGCCATTGCATGTGGAAATACTGTGGTTGCCAAGCCAAGTGAGATGACATCTGTCACAGCTTGGATGATGTGCAAACTCTTGGAGAAAGCAGGTAAGTCCCCTGGCATGTTAAGGAGGGGAAATGGGTGGGAATGCTTGCCTGTGCACCACTTTGTTGCAGCAATCAGAAAGTGCTCAAAGAATTTGGGAAAGACCTTTTGCTGTAGCTGAATGTTACACTGGCAAACAAAAAGCTCTCCCTGTCCTCACACTGTCCCATCTCCTCACCCCAGCTATTGCCCAGGTTTTTCCACTGTCTTCCCATGAAAAGTCTTCCTGTGCCTCCCATCTCCTTCCTGCACTCCACTTAAGGGTGTCCTAAGTCTGTGGTGCCAGGAGAGGAACCACGTAGGAGTAAGTGAATGAGAGTCCTGATTCGGTGGCTGTTGTGCCTGTATTTGGTTCACTGTTAAGAACAACTGGGAGGACAGCTGCTTATTCTTGCACCTGGGTCGGGGCAATCCCAAGCACAGGTACAGGCTCGGTGGAGAGTGGATAGAGAACAGCCCTGAGGAGAAGGACTTGGGGGTACTGGTGGATGAAAAGCTGGACATGAGCCGGCAGTGTGCGCTGGCAGCCCAGAAAGCCAACCGTATCCTGGGCTGTATCCAGAGAAGTGTGGCCAGCAGGTCGAGGGAGGTGATTCTGCCCCTGTACTCTGCTCTGGTGAGACCCCACCTGGAGTGCTGCATCCAGCTGTGGAGCCCTCAACATCAGAAGGATATCGACTGGTTGGAGCGAGTCCAGAGGAGGCCATGAAGATGCTCAGGGGGCTGGAGCACCTCTGCTATGGGGACAAGTTGAGAGAGTTGGGCTTGTTCAGCCTGGAGAAGAGAAGGCTCCGGGGAGACATTATTGCAGCCTTCCAGGACCTGAAGGGGCTACAAGGGAGCTGGGGAGTACTTTTAAAAAGGGCATCTAGTGACAGGACAAGGGGCAATGGCTCTAAATTGAAAGCAGGGAGAGTTACATTGGACATCAGGGAGAAGTTCTTCATGGAGAGGGTGGTGAGGCACTGGAACAGGTTGCCCAGAGAAGCTGTGGATGCCCCATCCCTGGAAGTGTTCAAGGCCAGGCTGGATGAGGCTTTGAGCAACCTGGTCTAGTGGAAGGTGTCCCTGCCCATGGCAGGGAGGTTGGAACTAGATGGTCTTTAAAGTCCCTTCCAACCCAAACCATTCTGTGATTCTATGATTCCCTGAATGAAAAGTGGGTCTCTGCTGGTGGTTTTCAGGCAGTCTTGACTGATCAGTGCGATTGGTTTTGTGTTTTAACCCATGACCTTCCCCAGAGTTATTAAACATCTTTTATTTCATAAATCATGCCTTTCAGCTGCTATGTAAGTTAAGGGTGCGTCTTTGTCACCCTACAGCTACTGGTAATTTTCTGACTTCAAAGGCAAAAACTAGTGAAGTGAAACCCACAGAGCAAGGGAAAGGGTACGATGGCTGTCTGCCTTTCTTCCCATCAGGAGTACCCCATGGGGTGGTGAACGTGGTGTTTGGAACGGGCGCCAAGGCAGGAGAAGCCCTCGTCAGCCATCCCGACGTGCCCCTGATCTCCTTCACAGGAAGCACGCTGACGGCCCAGCGGATCACAGAGAAAAGTGCTCCATACTGCAAACGGCTTTCACTGGAACTGGGAGGCAAAAACCCCGCCATCATCTTTGATGATGCCGACTTGGCCCAGTGCATCCCCACGACCCTGCGATCCAGCTTTGCCAACCAGGTGCTTCCCACCTCTGTATGTTGAAAACCCTGCCTTGCAGCAGGAGGTGTGTGTGTCTGAGAGGGTGTGTGTCTGCCCACCTGCACCTCTGGATCCAAATCCTAAATTGTCAAGGTGTGCTACAACATTTGGTAAATTGTAACAGTAAATGTTACAAACTGTAAATTGCCCTTTTTTTCCATATTTTTCTTTATTTCACGAGCAGGGAAACAAAATAATAAAGGGCCAACCAGGTGCTTCCCACCTCTGTATGTTGAAAACCCTGCCTTGCAGCAGGAGGTGTGTGTGTCTGAGAGGGTGTGTGTCTGCCCACCTACACCTCTGGATCCAAATCCTAAATTAATAAAGGGCTCTTCCTAGTACTCTCCATCAGAAAACAACAAGGTGTCATTATCCCTCTCAAAACAGATATATTGATTATCATTCCAGAAAGCAGCTGTTTAAATCCCACCCTGCAAGTAAGTGGGAAGTTTGCTGATTTTCTGGAATTAAATTAGGAGACTCCCTGCAAAAAAATCTATCAACGTTCCTCTTCCTTTATCACCACCTTCAGGAGAGATCAGCAAAGCCGTTGAAACTGTGTCAGGCCAAGTGTTTGGAAAAATAGCTTGATATCAGAAAGGGATTATCAGGAAATGATGACAGAGATCATTCTCACACTTCCTTTGAAAAATGTTGGAGAAGACAACATGTAATCAATGAAAAAATCAATTTTTTTTGCATTGATAACTGACTGTACAATCCTGTAATTGCTGTTTTGTCTTTTTCTTCTTTTCCTTTTTAACCTGGGAGAAATCCTACTTTGCAGTGTTGGTGAATGTAGTTTATACTCCTGAGGATGCAAGGACACAAATATCATTCTGGAATGTGACTCTTAATATTCGTCCATAGCCCAGTGTAATATGAACTGAAACTGTTGTTGTTCTTGTTTGTTTCTTTTTGTTAGGGTGAGATCTGTCTCTGCACCTCGAGGATCTTCGTTCAGAGGGGCATATACAGTGAGTTCTTGAAGAGCTTTGTGACAGAGGCTAAGAAGTGGAAGGTTGGGAACCCATCAGATCCTACAGTCAATGTGGGAGCATTAATAAGTAAAGAGCATCTGGAAAAGGTGATGTTACATGGAGTTTGTAATCTCATCTTTTAGAGAGCTATGGCAGGTGATTTCAGAGGTATGTGGAAAGGACCATGTCCTCTCCAAGGTTAGCTCTGAGGGATGATGATTGAAAACCATTCTAAGATATCATTTTGATAAGGTTTCTGTTGCCTGCGGCCTGGGATCATGTCATTACTCCAGAAAAATCAGCTCCCTAGGGAAAAGAATTTAAAATTACAAACAATATTTTTTCCTATTTGAAGTGAAATAATTAAAAATGTATAAATCTTAATCTTGAATTTATACTAACCCGTCTTAGAGTTCAGCAACATTTTATTGGATTTTAATATTGCATTTGCTGAGATCGCTTATTAGCCAAATAAGGTAGCTAATAAGATAAAAGTTCTATTTTTACATGTGGCAGATCCTGGGGAGACAGTTTCCTAGGGCAGCTTGCAGTAATTTGGAGTTGCATATGGGTAGAAGGAGGTTGAGATGGTGCATGGTTAAATGTAGTCTGCTTTAGTGGCTTATATGAAATCAATTTTCATGGTGTCAGAGTTCAAGAGAGCAGATGCTCACATCCCAGAACTATCTGACACGATCAGCATAAGCAAGAAGCAAACCGAAAGCCGCAGAGAGAGAAAGCCAAACCTTTGTCACGCTTCCTGATGCCCAGGCAGGTTCTCCAGGCCTGTTCAGAAACACCCACCTCACGAGGTCCGAGGTCTGTGGCTCCACAGGGGACTTCCAAGCCTAACCTACCAATGTGGTTAAAAGAAGAAAAAGAGAAAGGAAGCCCAGTGGTGTCTCTGTGGTGTTTTTACAGGGAGAGAAATCAGGCAATGGTTTCAGAAGTACAGCAATAGCATGTCCTATGTGTTCAAGGCAGCATATGATAGCAGCAGCCATGGAAACAGCTTTAATTATTTATTGATGAGATATTCTATAGCATTTGTGGCTTCATCGTCATAGCGGCATGTGAACATTTCACAAGCCTGCCTGTGAGGTAGGAAAATATTACTGATCCCTTCGAGTAAATGAGTAAACTGTGGCATGGAATATGTGGCAAACTGCCCAAGCTCCTGGAAGAAGGGAGGGAGGCTCTGGGACCACTTGTGTTTTCACCAGGGGCCCTACCCTTTTGAGAATACTTAGTGAGAAGGGCCAGCGGTGTTGCCTGCTGGCTAGTAAGTGTTTGGAGAGAGAGAAGGATTGTTTTACAGCAAGAAATACCCACCCTTACTTTTAGAGAAACGTAACAACAAAACCTAGGGAATTACCTCTGTTGTTAGGAGGGAAGTAAAGGCAGCGTGATCTGGTTAGAGAAACTCAGGGGCTCCTGTTGATGTGCCCAGACTGGAAAGGTGGACTCTCAGTATTTGGTGTCCTTTAGCAATGATGTTTTCCTGATACTTCCCCCAGGTAAGGAGCTATGTGAAGAAAGCCCAAGGTGAAGGAGCCAAAGTCCTCTGTGGAGAGGGAGTGGATTCCTTGGCTCTCCCAACTGGCAACCAGAAAGGCTATTTCATGTTGCCCACAGTTATTGCTGAAGTCAAAGATGAATCCTGTTGCATGCAAGAAGAGATCTTTGGTCCTGTGACATGTGTGGTAGCATTTGATACTGAAGAAGAAGTGATTGAAAGAGCCAACAGTGTGAAATACGGCTTGTCAGCCACTGTGTGGTCCAGCAACGTGGGACGCGTTCATCGGGTGGCACAAAGACTGCAGGCTGGATTGGTGTGGACCAACTGCTGGCTTGTTAGAGATCTGAACTTGCCATTTGGTGGGATGAAAGCCTCAGGCATTGGAAGGGAGGGAGCAAAGGATTCCTACGAGTTCTTCACTGAGGTCAAAACCATCACAATAAAGCACTGATACATGTCAGCGGAAGTATTTTAGGATAACATAAATGACAGTAATTTGTGTTACCGTAGTAATTTGTGTTACCATAAATGGCTTTCTGGAACACAAGCTGCTATTGTGGCCGTCGTCTTCTTGAACTTTCAGCAAGTAATGTCAATGACAGCTGAAAGTTGTCATCCCAAATGCTAATACTGAATTCAGCCTTTCATATTTAATGAGAAGGTGGATGCAAACTCCCCAATCAGCCCAGCCCAAGCCAGATGACTTCCTTATCTTATGGATCCTAAAGCTTTTTGAGTATTCATATCTAAAAAATCTCTCCATCTTAGGCAGATTGGAGAAGAGATGATATATGACTGTACCTGCGATTACCTTGAGGGATAGTGTCAAGCATGTTGTGAGTCTGATATTGTAATAGGAATCAGCCTGTTTCCACTATAAGTAGTACATTCCATGTACCAATCCATAGTGCACTTCACTGGTATCAGACAAGGACTTACGCTACAGCACATTAAATGCTCAAGGCAGTACCTTTAATCCATTAAATGGTGTTAAACCATGGGATCCTGAAATTCTCATGATACACAGAGACAATAAATGTTTTAATTGTAACCTGGTTTATGGTATGCAGCTAAATCATCCTAAGACTTGTCCTCTAACTATTTTGAAATTACAACCTTTCGTTACTTCTAGGCCTCAGTGGTGGTGTTTTTCACATCCCTGCACAAAGGGTTGGCTACATCACAGACAGTGTCATTCTTCATTAATAAAGACTGGAAGTGACTCCTAAGAAATCTGACTGTTGGAAATGTTTGTCACCAAATTGTAAAACCACTGGCAACTTTCCTTCATTCATTTACAGAGCTTTTTTTTTTTTTCCTTTTTGAAATCAAGTATCTCACAAATTTGTTCTCATTCCGCAAAAAGAGAAATAAACTGAGACACACATTTCCACACCCCCACCCCTAGATGGCTGTGTTGCTATTGAATTTTTACAGCAGCCCTTCATAACTTGTTTTTCAGATTTTGAGCTGAATTATACGGTAAACAAAGCTTCATGGAGTTTCATAAATGTCTGTATTCTGAGAAGACCTAATGAGCCTTTGGGATATTTTTTCAGGGCTGTTGGGGAAAAGAAAGGCACCTTTAAAATAAAAAAAAAAAAAGAAAGAAAAAGGATGAAAAATTATTACTGATGAATTGTGAAGGAAAGGAGTAGCGAATTGGTCTGCTGCTCCTCTGCACACCAAAAAGAAAATAGAGAGAGATGTGGGGTTAAAGAAAATGCAATTTTATTTTTTGGTACAGTTTATAGTATTTTTAGGGCTGTGGAGCTGTGATATGCAGGGCTGTAATACCTTGTAGAAATGATGTAGACAGCCTAGAGAAGTCTAGGCTTTGAATACTAATCCATACCTTTATTTTGATATTTATAATTAAGATAGGTTTTTTGTATAATGTACCTTGCAAGAGTATATTTTCCAGAGAGGATTTATTTTTTTCCTTTCCAAAGTTTGGAAATGGTAATGCTGGGATCTGTATTTTTCTGAATAAAAATAAAAATGCCGACAGGGCATTTTAAATTACGGCTCCAGAAAGGCAGACTTTTCTCTCTAAGTGCTTTTGGTTGAGAAGAGTCACTGGAATAAATAGGGGTTCTGGTGTCCTCACTGTGTGCGAGTTCTGCCAGTGACTGCTCTAGAGCTCTTAGAGCGGGCGATGAATCCCACTTCCAGATGCCAATCCAGACCGAGTTGCTCACTGGGAGCATTTGATACATGCATCCTGAGTTGGCTGGAAAAGCTGGTTTTCTCTTTCAGAAGACCTTTTCAAAGTAACTCGTACACCGGGGCCGAGGCCTGAGTGTGTGATGAACCTGGAAATCTCTGGAATCGATCTGTTTTGCAGGGAAGACCGGAACCTGGTCATCTGATGGATTTGGAACAAGTACCCCCACCTGGAGATGAGTTAAGGAAATACATAATAATGTTAGACTTGGTGAATCGATGTGCTCTGAAGAAGCACAAACGTTGTTCTATTTAAAGCTCTGCCCTAGGTGCGTTCATGGCCATGTGGTGGCAGCAGAACACCCGCCTTGGATTTTTATCCCTCAGTCTCCCCTTTTGCAGGGAGAGGAAGAAACAGCTACTTCAGAGCATGTTTCATTCTGCCAATTTTTTTTTTTTTTTTTTTTTTTTTAAAAATTCTCGTATTAAATAGTGTTGCAGAACATGAAGAACGGAAGAACCCAAAAGCTGTGAAACGCTTCATTAGTTTGGGGAGCAGGCATTTTCAGCAACAGCAGATGGGATGGTATACAATTAGTAGATTTGGATGGATTCCTTCCCCCACCTGGATCTGGCCTAGGTTCAGGTTTAATTAGCTAAATTTTCTTCCAGGTGTTGATTTTGGCTTGGTTTTAGATGTGGTGGGAAATTCCTGTATATGTTTCATGTACAGGAGATAAAGGCCTGTGTGTCATCTGTGTGTTTCTGGCCCAAGATACCAGGGATATTTTACAAGAGGTGGAGTAGCAGGTGGGGAGGGGACAGAGCTCTGCAGGACTGAAGGGGTGTGGAGATAGCAGTTCCATGTCCATCATGGCTCTGAGGGTTTCTCAGAAGTGAACTCCTGGGATGCCCCATTTGGTCATCCCTGTGTCCAGCACCTCGGGAGAGGTAAGGGTGGTCTGCGGTTGCTAATGATGATGCTTGCTTTTGGGCAGGAGGGAGACCCCATATGAAGATACAAAATATTGTCCCTCTCTGCATTTTCCAGCTGTCATAGGCTCCTTCCTTCTTCAGTTAAGGAGCAGTTCAAGTGCCTTGCCTAGATTATTCTGCTATTTCTTGCCCTTTGGATGCGTGCAGATTCACGTATGTATATATAGGTGTGTATATATATTCTTTGGGTCCACAAGGAAGCTGGGAGGGGACTTTTTACAAGGGCCTGTAGTGACAGGACAAGGGGTAACGGGTTTAAATTGAAAGTGGGGAGGTTTAGATTGGATATCAGGAAGAGATTCTTCATGGTGAGGGTGGTGAGGCACTGGCACAGGTTGCCCAGAGAAGCTGTGGATGCCCCATCCCTGGAAGTGTTCAAGGCCAGGCTGGATGAGGCTTTGAGCAACCTGGTCTAGTGGAAGGTGTCCCTGCCCATGGCAGGGGGGTTGGAACTGTATGGTCTTTAAGGTCCCTTCCAACCCAAACCATTCTATGATTCTATATACACATGGGTGACTGTTACCTGGTGAGGAGATTTCTTTTCCTGCCTGCAGTAACAGGTGATTCCTGCATTTCACATGCCCACCTCCAGCCTCTGGTCCTAGCCCACCAGAGAGTTGCTGGTGCTCGTGGCTGTGAAGCAGGTGACGTGAGAGAGGTTACCTGCTTGTACCAGGGGCTGTCTATGGGGACACAGAATTCTCCTACGTACCAAATGCTATGGACATTCCATATTTTCATCATTCAGACTCGTCTCTAGTACAGCAGCGTGCCTGGATAACTGTCTCTCATCTTCTAGACAAAGTAGTCCAAGAACTTTTTCCTGCAGACGACGAAGGTGCCTGTTGCAGCTGCTTTGTTCCTGGCTTTCCTCATTGCTCAGCGAACACGATATCCTGAAGGACGAGGCGGGCTGATCCAAGACATCAATCTGACAGCTCTTGCAGAGGTTGCTGGGTTACGCGACCTGGAATTTTCCAACTCTGCAGCAAAGCTTTTTTTTTTTTTGTAGACTGCCCTGGCTTGTGCATGAAATCATGTGACCATTGTGAGGATTTGTTTAATTACTGTTATGTAAAGCCCAGAGAGTTGCTCCATCTGTTAATTCTTATAGATGGGGTGAGTACAGTTCTGATTAATGCCAGAAGATTCTCTCGGTGTGAGTTTTTTACTTTACATGGGCAGGTAGTGATGTATTTGCCATACTTTACAGCTCTTAATTAGCACTGGGTAATTTTTGTTCTGTTTCACATCTTTTCTTAGCATGTTTGTATCTGTATTCAGCTATTGTATAATGCTTGAAAGCATCTTTGCTTAGGAAGACTCTGGATGTGCTTTACTTTGTAGAGGGCACACATTGGTTCTAATGTTTATATTCAAATTAAGCTACACCTCTGTTCCCACAGTGTTTGTAACAAGCAAAACAAGAAGTATCTGTAAAACTCCCCGGGGTGAACACAGACTTGACTTTTTGGGTCAAAGCAAGTTTCATGCCTAACTTAAGTTCTGCATGCAGAACTAGAATGTAAGCTAGTCTAGTTTTAAAACCTTAACTTTGCATTTCCGAACTTCAGGAAGCTCTACGCTAAGATTCAGTTTCACAGGTAAAGTCAGATCTCTTATCCCGAGGACTTTCCTCTTACCAGAAAAAGAAAAAAAGGGTGGTGGGATCCTGAGGGAACTGTGAATAACTTTCCTGTCAGACTTGTCCTCAGGGCTGATGTGTTTTTGCTGAGTCTGGAAGGATGTTTGCTCAACACCAGTCTCAGCTCTAGAAAGGTGCCATCTGAAGTGTCCAAATACCTGACTTAAAGCTTCTTTTTAAGCCTATGGATTTCCTGTGTGGTGAGAGACTGAAAAATGAAAATTGAATGAAATTTTCCTAGGCTGGAGGAAGGCCTGGGTCCCATTCTTCACCCTAATTAGTAGTTAAGTATGCTGTAGAAAGCTAATCATAATGAATAGAGGAGACCCAGAACAGTTGCAGGAAATCCTGGTGACTGAGCCATTTTCTTCATTGAAATCTGTTCCCCTCCTTTCCGAGCATTTGTTTCTGCACCTGGGGGGTGATGGTTATGCTTAGAGGCCCTCAATGCACTAGCTTTGTTGTAGAATAAATAAATTTTCTACTGGTAACACTTAGATGAAGAGTTGGTGTATAAGGAGAAAAACAGGGAAGTCCTGCAGTATTATAACTGGGTAAACTGGATGCGTCTTAACGCAGCTGAGAGCTAGTTAATGCTTCCATAAACTGTGTGTGTATGGTGCTGCCCCCTGTTGAAAAGGATTGGGCGATCCCGAGGGAAAGCGCCAGCAGTATGAGAACAGCCCAGCCAAA